ACAGCATGAGGAAAGGTACAAAGGCAATAGCGGTGTGGCCATGAAATTCAATGTTGCCCGAGCAGGGAGCTGAGGTAGGGAGTGGTGAGGGATGAGCCTGGAGGGGAAGGCAGGGAGCGGGTGAGGAGAGCACAGCTTTGACTCCATTCTGCAGGCAGTGGGGGGAGAGCAGAAGCGTTTTTATGCGGGGCATGACGTTACCGGAGATTATTCTAGTGGCAAGGGAGAAGACGGATTAGAGGGAGGCAAAAATTAGAAGAAGCGAAATTTCTTAGGAGGCATTTGCACAAAAGAGTAATAGGTTTGTGTTTATATTTAAGAATCTCAGCGAACATTTATTTAGCATTTATGACGACAATTACTAAATAAGCAGTATAATGCAAAGTAGCTTATTATTTCAACCAACCCTATGAGTAAATACCATTATTATCCTCATTTTACAGCTAACAAAACAGTTAGGTAACTGTCCTGAGGCCAGGATGCAGTTCGGGCAGCCTGGTGGCAAAGCTTATGCTCTTAATCTCTATCTCTTTTGTTTCAGTTTTGTCTCTCCCATTGGAATGAAAGCCCTATGCAGACAGGACTGTTGTATGTTCCCCACCGTGCCGAAACAACAGATACACAGCAACTATTTCCTGAATAAACTCAATGACTCACCTGAGTGAAAAGAGTGGACTATACCATACATAGATACAAGAAATATTTCTGATGCAATTTTGGCAAATTTTTGGCAGACTTTGGTGATTGTTATGGACTGAATGTCTCTCTCCCCCGACCCAAATTCATGCGTTGAAGCACAAATCCCCCTCCCCGCAGTGGTGCCTCTGGGAAAATCATTTAAGTTAGAGAAGATCGTAAGGGTGGGGCCCTAAGCCAACAGGACTGCTCTACAAGGAAGAGACCAGAGTTCGCTCTCTTCTGTATACACGCACTGAGGAAAGGCCATGTGAAGATGTAGTAAGAAGTCAGGAAGAGAGCCCTCACCAGAAGGCGAATCAGGTGGAACCCTGATCTTGGACTTCTGGCCTCCAAACTGTGAGAAAATAAACGTCTGTTGTTGAAGCCACCCAGTCGATGGCAACTCAACAGACAAATCAGTGATTAGTAGGATGAGGGTGTGGGGTGGAGGGGAGCTTTCTCGCCTGGGAGACTGGCAGGGCAGTGGTGCTGCTGACTGGGGTAGAGAATCTGGGAAGAGGAGAGGTTGGTTATGGTCAATGGAACAACACTAATTATCCTATACTTTGGGTTCACCTCACTCAAACATAAAAAATACAGTAGAAATTAGCTACTTAAAACCATTCATTCAATAAATATTCTATTCATCCCCTTGTGACGGTGGCCACTGTGCTTGTCCTGAGAATACAAAATAAGTAAGATTCATTGTCTGCCCTTAAGGAGCTCACAGTCCAGTGGGGAGAAATACTGTTCCTTTTAGTAAAGCTAGCATGCTCGCTAGAAAGATCTTTTTCCTTTTCCCCATTTCTAAAGACCTGGAGCTCATAAGAAGTATAGAGGTAAAATCCCATATGGGTAAGACCTCTGGAGTCACATGACCTGGGTTTGAATCTGGGCCTTGGAATACTAGCTTAGTGATGGTCTTGATAGGCCAAGTAAACTTTCTGGGTCTTGGGGTCCTCACCTGTAACTGCAGAGTTGGTTTATGGATCAGACAAGAGAAGATAGGTAGAAATGTTTTGTAAAATGCAATATACATGTTAGCAATCCCTGTAATTATAAAAGCTCCATTTCTAACCTATGAAAACTAGAGGTAAATCAGACAGAGGCAGCAAGCCAGAGGTGAAAGGCTGGCTTTGAACCCTGTGGGTGGCAGGAGTTCTAGGGTAGAGGATGGAATGAGACTGGTGTAGTGGGAAGAACACAGGCTTTGGGGTCTTGCAGATCTAGTTCAAATCACAATTCAGTTATCAACTGTGGGGAGCTGAGTAAGTCATGTAATGGATCTGAGCTTTAGTTTCTTCTTTTGGTATAAAATGGAGTTGATAATGTCCACCCAGGAGGGTTATTCTGAGTATGTAAAGGGCTTGGCAGGGTGCCTATCAGAGCTGTTGCTCAATTAATGGTAATTGTTCCTATTTATCATTTACCTCCCCTACCTCCTAAGGGGTTTGTAGTTACTTGAGATGCAAAGAAGTGAGGGAAACAGAAGGGCTTTTATGACTTACTTTAAAAGTTATTCTTAAAGGTAAAGAAAAGTAGTTCAACTCGGCTTTCCTTTCCTAACCTATGGTGCAAACACAACGTGTATAGATAATGACCACTGTGTTCTATGGCATGAAGCCATAGAACACTCAACTTGATACTTATTCCTTGTATTTATTCTAAGTAAATCTACCCATCACTATTAATAAGGGTTCACTGAAGGCAATGCTTCTCAGGCTTTAATGTACACATGAGTCACCTGGGTGCTTGTTAAAATGCAGATTTTCATTCAGTGGATTTAAAATGAGGAAGGAAATTCGGCATTTCTAACAAGGTCTGGGGTGAAGCCCATGCTGCTGGTCTCTGGAGCACACCTTGAGGAAGGAGCAAGGCTCTGAAGGGATGTGGAAATCTCTTCGTTGGCATGGTGTGCGCTGTAATTCCCAGCTTCTCTTGAGCGATCTAGCTCACTACAAACTGACTACGGATAGAACACCGACAAGCCTTTTTCAGACCAGATTTAGAAACTCTGCAGCAGGACTCATTTCAGATCAGTACTGACTTTTTTTGAGCAGCCTACTATGTGCAAGGCACTGTGCGAAGTGCAAAGGATACCAAGGTTAGTGAGACACAATTCCTGCTTCTGAAGACTGTCTGTATTCTGACATGGTACACCCTTGTAGACTGTTAACTTTCTGAGGGCACTGTTATTGTCTCACCTATTGCCTGCTCCAGAGGTACTCAATAAATAGTAAATGAACGAATGAATGAATGAGTTTATAGGAGTTTCATGAAAAATATCCTCCAGCAGCACATGACAATGAGACACCATCTCAACTGCACTCTCTCTATCACGTTTAAGGGATAGTTGCGCTAGAATCAGGCTGATAGGGTGGGCCCTAATCCAACCTGACTGGTGTCTTTATAAGAAGAAATGATTACAACCACAGAGATTCCAGGAATGAGCTCACACACACTGAAGGATGACCGTGAAAGGACAGAGAGAAGGCAGCCATCTGCAAGCCAAAAAGAGAGTCCTCAGAAGAAACCAAACCTGCAGACACCTTGATCTTAGACTTCCAGATTCCAGATCTATGAGGAAATAAACTTCTGTTGTTTAAGCCACTCAGTTTATGGTATTTTGTTATGGCAGTCCTTGCAAACTAATATATAAATTTTCACAGTTTTTATGCCCAGATCCAAGACTCCCTTCTGTAAGCAGTCTTACAAAATGTAAGAATAATTCTAAGAGTGGATGGATGAACCTCGGAGTACAGTGGGATCGAGTCAGGCAAGGGCTTGGGGGAGACAGATGGAAAAGGGTTAAACAACAGCTCAGACTGGGCTAAAACAACTGTAATATATACACATTTCCCTCCCATTCTCATGATACCAACACGAAGTCTACAGCTGGGACTGAAAATAGGTTTTCAACTCCTCCCCCCGACCCTTTTCAGGCTACACTTTGATACTTAACACAATTTTATTTGTCCAAAAAAACTGTGGCAGGAGGAAGACCCCAGATTTCTCTTTGTATGAAAGTCCTAAAGAGTACCTGTGATGATAAAGTAATGAAACTGAACTTTTGATAACCAAAAAGATGTGTCAAGATATGCCAAATGTCTTGCTAGCCACAGGGAAGCTGTATTTGAAGCTTGATTCTAAAGTCAGGGGATTGACGTTTTTGTTTTGTTTTTACTAAACATGCTAACTCATATGTACAGATGAATGCCTCCTTCAAAATGGTCATTCTAGAAGGTTCTACACTTATCCTCACCATGTCACTGTTCTCAACTCAGTCCTGGAATTGTTTCCAGGGTCTATGAGACAGTCTTCTGCACTCAATGGTGACTCTTGAAGGTAGATTTGATTTTCAAAAACAATCAAGTGTTCTTCTGGTTAACTGGGAGAACCAGTCAAACTGTGTAATCCCAAGAAGATTGACCCTAAAGAATCCAGGCTGATTTTTCTTGAGTGAATTGTACTCAACTCCAGAAGACACTTTCTAAAGGCAAACCCCAGATGGTAGTAGATATGCTATAGACATGACAGGGGTGGAGTGGTGACTGCTCTGAAGGAAACCCCATTCATTTGTATATGCGAATTTTCTAGTGGTTCCCTTTACCAGAATATTTCCTCACATCCAGATCCACCCTTCCTCATGGAACCCCGGTTCCCAGAAGTACAAGGACCCCGATGCCTTAGTCAACTTTTAATCTGGGTCCATTTTTAATCCAACCTGGGTACTGGGAAAGTTAAATAAGGGAAAAGAACCACGAAGGTGTCTGGGGCTTACTACTCTGTGTGATTCAAAGGATAGAAAGAGGACCCAGAGAGAAGTTCCTGAGACATAACTTTTTGCTCCATGTAAGAAAGACATTATCAGCAGCTGGAGCTGTCCAACAATGGAGTTAGTTTGCCTGGGATATTGTGAGTTTCCAGCCCTGGGAAGAGTTTTTAAAAGGAAGGCTGCTTATTATCAGAGGCTGTAGAGGATCCTCCTGTACTGGGTGGAGAGCGACCCAATGACCTCCAAGGACTATCCCCCGAGTCCAACCTGCACAATACCTGGCAATTGTTAGCTCCTGAAAAATACTGAAAGGGAATGAATGAGGCATATAGCGCATCTTGTGAGCCAAGTAAAAGGTTAGAGGCTGGGGCTCAGTCAGCTGCAAGGAAGGTAGGAAAAAGTGAAATGAAAATAGCCACCAAGAGGTGGGGCCTTCCTTGAGTTTTTGCTATCATAGGAGAGTTGCTTTGCACACCCGAAACTTCACATGTTTATGAATACTTTTGAAGGGGGAAGTAGCTGAGAGAGGAGATAGACCACTGCTCACCCTTCTTAAACTCCTCCAGCACCGTGTCCAGCCGGGTGTCATTGAAGACGCAGTGCAGGGGCCGGTTGTAGAAGCGAGTGACGGTGAGCAGCGGCGTGCAGTCGTCGGGGTCCACGAAGGCCAAGTCTTTGACAAACAGAATGTCCACAATGTTGTGCCGCTGATCGCCCTCGTACACGGGGATGCGAGTGTAGCCGCTGCGCAGAATCTCCGAGACCGTGGCGAAGTCGAGGACGGCGTCGGAGCGCAGCATGAAGCAGTCCCCGAGGGGGGTCAGCACCTCCTCCACCACCTTGGTGCGCAGCTCCAAGGCGCCCTGGATGATGTTGAGCTCCTCCTTCACCAGGTCGCTGTAGGGGTCCGCGGCCCGTAGCGTCTCCAGCAGCTTCTCCCGCGTGTAGAAGGTGCTGATCTCCTGTCGCAGTGCCCAGTCCAGCAGGCGGCCCAGCGGGTAGCACACGGGGAAGGCGGCCGCCATCAGGAGTCGGGTCAGGCACACGCTGTGCGAGGCGATGGCCAGCCCGTGCCGCGAACACACCGAGTAGGGGCAGATCTCGGCGCCCAGAAACACGGCGCCGGTGCACACCAGCGCCGGCAGCCACGGGAAGTGAATCCCTGCCTCGCCGTCATCTTCGCCAGTGCCCCCGACGCCCGGCGGCAGCGAGGCGTACAGCCAGCCGGCCAGGGCAGCGTTGGCTCCGGCTTGGCCCAGGAGCAGGGTGCAGAGCAGATGGGTCCCCCTGCCGCGCACCGCCTGCACGCGGCGCGCCTGCTCCTGTTCTGCGGCCGAGCCACTGTTCCGCAGCACCCGTAACTCCACCGGGTCCAGCGAGAGCAGGCTCAGGCGCAGGCCGCTGAATAGGGCAGACAGGGCGAGCAGCAAGAGCGCCCCGAGCGCCCGAAGCCACGCGGGCGGCAGCAGGTCCCCGCCAGGACCGTACAGCCGCGGGCGGACGCGCAGCAGGAAGCCGCCCGCGGCGCCGTGGTGGTGCCAGGCGCGCCCGTCCCAGGCGCACAGCGAGAAGAGCTTCCCGCCACCGCCCGCGCCGCCCTTCTCTGCCTCGCCCTTGCGCAGCTCCCGCACCCGCACCTGGACTAAAGCCGAACCCGCCACGCCTCCGGGGCGCAGGGGACCCAGGACCTCCACGTCGGACGCCCAGTCGCTCTGCTCGCGGCAGCGCTGCGGCCCCGGGGGGCGCGTGGGGACAGCACTGGGCGCCACGCCGCTACCTCCCGGGGGCTCCTCGATGAACACGAGCCGCGGAGCCCAGTCGCCGGTGCCGTTCTCTCCTGGGGAAAGGGTGGGTGCGGGCACCGGCGCCGCGGGCGCCGCTGGCCCGGGCTGGAAATAGACTCGCAGGAGGAAGCTGGTGCCTTCCGCTGCGCGCAGGGTGCCCCCTTCCAGGGACACGCGGCCTCCAGCGGTGTCCTCGGGCCGCAGGCCCAGCAGCCAAGCGGCGGCGGCCGGGGGCTGAGGGGACAGGGAGAAGAAGAGCAGGAGCACAGCGCCTCGGCTGCAGCAGTCCCGGAGCCTGACACCCACCGCTGTTGCCGCAGCCGCCATCCTGCACCCGGCGCGGCTGCACGTGATACTGCAGAGAACAGAGCGAGATCTGGAGGGAGGAGGAGCCGGAGCCGGGAACCGGGCCGCGAGCAGGTCACCACGTGTGCGCCCCCTGCGAGCGTGGGCTGGAGGCGTTGCGGGTTCAGACCCTGCCCCCACCGGGGGTCCCCGCAGGAGGCCGGAGGTGGCTACGCATCACTGCATCATGTATAACCCCCGAAACACTTCGGTGTATCTGAGCGGCAGCCTAAGGAAAGCTTGGCTTTGGAGCTCGGCCTCCTGCTCCAGCAGTAGGGCGCCCCTCCGGGAGCTCCTACCCGGCAGTAATTCCCTGTCGGCCCCACTGCTTCCCCATTGGCCAGGGATATTTCCTAGCGTTTTGCCTCTCCTCCTGTCTCTTGCCTTCCCCCTTCTGGTCAAAAGATATGCCCTAGACAAGTCTTGAGTCTGAAAACTTTGCATTTGGTCTCAAGTCTGGTTGACCTTTTAGGTTTTAAAAATTTCCTAATTACTTAAGTTCCAAATGTCCATGAATAAGATGCAAATGTCCATAATAAATTGTGACGCTACTAGGTGATGGAATACTATGCAGCAGGAAAAAAGAATGATGGGGATTCTTGTGTTTGTGATGTGGAAATATCTCCAAAGTAATGGTTGAAAAATAGGGAGGGGCGCCTGGGTGGCTCAGTCTATTAAGCGTGGGACTCTTGAATTACGCTGAAGTCATGATCTCAGTGTCCTGAAATGGGCACCAGGCTCAGCAGGGAGTCTGGTTGAGATTCTCTCCATCTCCCTCTGTCCTTAGCCCCACTTGTGCTTGCCTGTCCTCTCTCTCTCTTTAAAATAAATAACTCTTAAAAAAAGAAAAATAGTGAGATGCAGAACAATGTATGATATGCCAGTTTGTATTAAATGTTAAATGTAGATATGCATATATACACATATAAAAGATTAATATGCAAAAGATACACCAGAAATTTCTAAGTGTTCACCTCTGGGGAGCAGGGGAGCAGGACTAGATAGGAAGTTTTGTTGAGAGATACTTAAAAATATATATAAACAGGAGGTTGCAAAGAAAATACAGAGATCCTCCTACTCCTCACACAGTTTTACCCAGGGGTTACATCTTAACTATGGTATAATACCAAAAGCAGGAAATTGGCATGGGTGTAAAATGTATGCAGAGTTCTATCTCATTTTATCACATAGGTAGATTTACATAACCATCACTGCAATCAAAATGCAGATTTTTTTCTATCACCATAAAGCTCTGGGAGGGAGACTTTTTTTTTTTTTTTTACCGAATTCCTTGTATTGTTTGAATTTACCATGGACCTGTTACTTTATTTTTACTTTTATAAATTTATTTTTAAAATTTATATAGTAAAATTCACTTTTTGATATGCTGTTCTATGAGTTTTGACAAATGCATATTCATGTATCGCAATCAAGAATAGTTCCATTATCCCTCAATATTCACTCTGAGTCTCTCTTTGTGGAACCCCTCCCCCAATCCCATCCTCTGACAACCACTGATTTGTTTTCCCCTATAGTTTCCTCTTCCAGAATGTCAAATAAGTGGAATAATACAATTAAAGCCTTTTGGATCTGGCTTCCCTTAGTATAACACATTTGAGAGTCATCCATGTTGTTGTGTTCATTCCTTTTTATGGCTGGGTAGTATACTATTACATGGATGCACCGAAGTTTGTTCATCCATTTACCAGTTATTTCCAGTTTTTGGCAATTATGAATAAAGCAGCTATTAATGTTTGTGTGCAGGTTTTTGTGTAAACATGTGTTTTCATTTTTCTTGGGTAAATTGACTATAGGTCTGTATTACTTTTTAAAAATGTAAAAGTGGGGCGCCTGGGTGGCTCAGATGGTTGGGCTTCTGCCTTCAGCTTGGGTCTGATCCCAGGGCCCTGGGGGTCGGGGGGGTCCCTGCTCAGCGGGGAGTCTGCTTCTCCTTCTCCCTCTGCTTCTCCCCCTGCTCATGCTCTCTCTCTCTCTCTCTCTCTCTCTCCCCGTATCTCTGTGTCTCGAATGAATAAATAAAAAAATCTTTAAAAAAATGTAAAAGTAACAATAATTTGACATGCTACCTTTGGCGCCTTTGACTAACTTAAAAAATCATTGCTTTGTGTGAAATCTTATTTTCCACAGAATTTGTAAGACTCCAAAGATATTGATTAAAAAGGCCTTGCAAATGATATAGCTCAGTACAAATGGTTCTAGCTAAAAGTTACCTTGTTTTCATTACAAACTCTTATCATCCAGAGTGGAAGTAACCCCTTCCCAGTTTGGGACTGGACAGGCCTTAGTAGACCGCTGGTCACATTCCTACATAGAGGCCTTTCCCAGGGAATGTGAAATAGAATGCAGGGATTGTGAAACAAACCTACCATTACCTTAAAAAGTCACTCGAGCCTGTCTACTACAAGCTGCCTTTTGTGTGGGCAGCTTGAGAGATAGAAGGAAGATTTGATCTCAAGAGGGAACATTGAGGCATGTAGGGGAAGTATGGAGGAAAGGGACAAGAGGGGTCAAGCATGTGATTGTTTCTTGGGCGCCTGGGTGGCTCAGTTGGTTAAGCGACTGCCTTCGGCTCAGGTCATGATCCAGGAGTCCTGGGATCGAGTCCCGCATCGGGGTCCCTGCTCGTTGGAGAGTCTGCTTCTCCCTCTGACCCTTCCCCCTCTCATGTGCTCTTTCTCTCTCTCTCTCTCTCTCATTCTCTCTGTCTCAAATAAATAAATCAATAAATAAAAAGCATGTGATCGTTTCTCTTAAGTATTGGCAAAAACTGCTCTCATCTTTCTCCTGACACTTGTATCTCTCTCCTCTCCCAGCCCAGCTTCCTCAGCACAAAACCACCTCCTATCTTAAGGGTTCTCCTACCTCTTTTGGGCCACAGGACTTTATCATCATTATAATCCCACTTAACAGCTTTATCAAGCTTTAGTGTTACAAAGGAATGTCTTATTTATTATTACACACACACACACACACACACACACACACACACTAGCCCTGTGTAGTAGATGTAATTCTACCCACTTTACAGATCAGGTTAAATGTCTCGGTAAAACTTCTTTGGACTCTAGATTGATGCTCCCTCACCTTGCAGTGTTGACCAGTACTAGAATAAAACCCTTCAAAAATATTAGATCAGGAATTTAAAAACCTAAATTTCTGATTATAAGTATTACATGCTCATTGAAAATAAAATTTTAATGCAGAAAAGCATTAATAAAAATAAACTATAACCCCACCATCCAGAGATAAACAGTGTTAATGTTTTGGCACATTTCCTTTTTTTATTTTCTATGTACACTGATAGAAACACACACACACACCCCCTCAGATATTTGTCTATTTTATAATTGAATACATATTATACATACAATTCTACTCTTCTTCTGTCAATATATCAAGAGCATTTTCCTGAATATAAAAAAATTCTTTTGTAAACATAATTTTTAATGAATAGGACTATTACTGTATCTATATTGGGAGAGAGGGGGAACTGTAAGAATGAAACTATTTCCAGTTGCTTCAACTCTATTATTCACAAGTGTTAAGCTTAGGAAAGTCAATCCACTTTTCTGGGCCCATTTCCTCATCTGTGAAATGAAAGACAGTGTTTTTGTTTTTTTTTTTAAAGATTTTATTTATTTATTTGACAGAGAGAGACACAGCGAGAGAGAGAACACAAGCAGGGGGAGTGGGAGAGGGAGAAGCAGGCTTCCCACGGAGCAGGGAGCCCGATGCGGGGCTCGATCCCAGGACCCTGGGATCATGACCTGAGCTGAAGGCAGACGCTTAACGACTGAGCCACCCAGACGCCCCAATGAAAGACAGTTTTAAGATCCCTAACCTTCATGAGTCAGTGAGTAACGGCTAATGTACACTGGGTGAAGATAATCTAGAGAGACATACTTTTCCTTTACTGAACAGGAGGTTCTGGAAAAGTACTGGGTTTCCAGAGCTCTACTATAACTGAAAGGATACCTAGGGACAGGTTTAGGCAGTGTGATTCTAGAAAGGAAGAACTGCCAAAAATAGCTCCCTGGGATCTGAATGTAGATGAGATCATCATATCTCTTATAAAACGGGCACTTCCTAGTTTACAAGATGGGCAATTCCTCACCTCTCAGAGAGATGGAGGAAATGATACTTGCTTTTAATCTCAAGACTATGCTATTTCAGAATGTACATGTTAAAATGCTTTTTGTTTATTTCATTACTTATTCATTCATTCAGTAAATTCTTGTCTGTGAACAAAGTGGCAGACCCTGTGCTAGATACTCTGCATGGACAGATACCATGGTTGCCATCATGGAGCTTAGATTCTAGTGAAGATGACAGACATGAACCAGAAATTGCTTACTTCCCTAATTAATTAATTACTCCTATGAAGATGATGGTCAAAGTGCCACACAAGTATATAATCTGGGAACCCATCTAGAGAGGAAAGTTTGGAAAGACTATATCCAAAAATGAAATTCAATGAAAATGGAAGAATTTATACGTTAGGAAGAACATGAAAAATGTATTTTGTGCTTTCTATCCCTATTTGTACATAACAAACTATGACACTGTATTAATAATATTCCTAATAATAAATCTATTAACATTTACTGAGAGCTTACTACATGCCACATACATTCTCCTTTTTAATCTTCATAATAGATAAAAACTGGGGTTCTGATTGGGTAACTTTGTGAAAGTCATATCATCAATGGGTAGTGGATGGAGCCCAGTTGGATACCAGTCTGAGTCTGGAGTCTACAATTTAAAAAGTTGGGAAAATAATAATACCAGGTAACCCTTATATAAGGTTTATATATCAGGCATCAGTTATCTCATGTAATTCTCATAAGCGCCTTTGGAAGTAGGTATTTTTACTATCATTTCCACTTTACATGAGGAAACTAAGCTACAGACAGATTAAGTATCTTAGTGGACAAAATTATACAACCAGTGGTATAAGCACT